AAATTATTAACCTGATAAATAAAGAGATTCTATCAATGGTATATGTTTTATAGATTTCTATGAATAAAAGTTGGTTATTTTTTCTTTTTAAAAAAGATAAAACAATGAAAGAAATTACAGAAACTAAATTAATAGATGTCTGTTAATTAGAGCAGCAAGAAAATGAATCCAGAAATGTAAAGATTATTTAAGCAAACGAATTTGACTAACTCTAAATTATATAAACATCTCAAAGTATAATAAGAAGTAATCTAGTTTGACTTATCCTTGACAAAGAGGGGGAGTAAGCTAAAATTATCGGAATATTGTTCTGAGGTTAATACTGTAGTGAACAAAACACCGGTTGGGGGACAATCGAATGTATTTAAGCAAAGATTACAGACTATCTCAGTAAATTCTGAAAACCATACAATGTACAGTCAATTTGCAAATTAACAACCAATAATCTCGATCTTCACTGTTTCTTCTCTAATTCTATTGTTCGTGCATTTTCCTACCGATTGCGCTTTGTTTCAGTTCTTTCGTCATCGGTCTTCTGCGAAAATACATTCTATGCCTGACCCACACCATATACTACTTATATGGATATAAGTAGATCACACCACAATACTACATTTGAAACGCATCAAAAAGTTGATTTCACATCACTCACTTTATTACATATCACGCATTACAAACGTTAATTTTTCTCCCTCAATTAATTTATACCATTGTTCATAAGAGTAAGATTAACTATGACAGTATACTATCGATGTGACTAGAAAACTGACCATATTATTTTAAAGAAAGTTCATAGAGTTTGGACTAGAAAAGTTTACTGATGAGACACACATACATACTGATGGTATGGCTATATGTATATAACAAAAACTTCCAACCATAAAACACAAATCTTAGTAAGACATTGAATTCATATAAATGATTGTATGTGATGTTCTTATCATTCGGACTTTTCTAGATGAATTATTAAACATTCTACATCGTTATTGCTTTATCTAGAAACACAGTTCATGTGATAACATTCCAAGATACATTTCTGGACTGACGACAGTCATCCAGAAAGGTTCTGTGGTGAGGAATTCTTAGTTTTTTAATGAATTTTCTAAACAAATTTCTGAGTAATCACTTTATTCCTATGTAGAATACGAGAAAACATCTTATAACTGCATGACAAAGCATTTACTTTTCGTTACTTATCTAGTGATTCAGAAAACCATCTTAGTGTCGTTAATGACATTTCAGTCAAATATTGATAAGTCTATACTTATCGAAACTGAAAATAATCACAAGTCTATTTATCAAACTTCAGTTTGCATTCAGACATCCTCTTTATAATGGACTAGAATATGATAGACATAAAACAGTAGCAATACATTCTGTTTCCGTTACATACAAATATAATAGCGAGTAATCACTTAAATCGCACTCCAATGACACCGATTACATTGTTCAACTTATTAAATTTACATTGGCCAATCTTCTCAGTTGAATTAATCTTCGAAAATCACTCCTACTCATTATATAATTTACGTTTTTCTGTTCTAAATAAAATCACTGAAATAGACTTTAACAGACATCATCTCATGACGAAAAGCTACTTAACTAAAAAAATCTTATATGATGACTTGAAAGTATATAATGAGGAATCCCATTACAGGATGGTAGGGTTCAATAAACATCGCAATTCATAAGATCATCAGTTGACTTGTACTCAAAGCCTGAACTCAAGTCACTAAGTTGCTGATATACTTCACTATTGGTGATACGTAAAATGAATAGTTTCCAAGTTTAATTTATTCCAAATGTCTTGATAAACTTTTACTTAGTGACTAAAATGGGCTATTTGGAGGGATATTCGCATGTACAATCGATAAATTTTGTATTAAAAAACATGTATGTGTTACTATCAAGATGTAAAAGTCAACTGATTTTGTAGTTGGGGAATTTCTTCAGAATTTACGCATCACTTACGTAAAAATGAATTTAGAGTTTTGATCAGCCCAGAAAAAAACATCTTGATAGAACAACAGATGAAGTGAGAAACATTATTCGGTAAGTTTGGTGTTGAATAAGAATTGAGAGTGGGGAAAACAACGCTGTACTGATCTACACACATTTCGGTACATCGGCCCAATAGATTATATATATATATATATATATATATGGTTTTGTTCGTTATAGAAAATATGACGCGATTTACATTATGCCTTGGAATGAACTTTATCAGTTTTGTATTGCGAGTAAAATTTAATGTCTTTTTTCACTTTAATAATTAATCGATCAAATCCGCATAAATTGAATACCATAATATACAGTAGTTTGTAATAATAATGACGAAATTGGAAAAATACTATTTCCGTTATGATGCAATTGTGCACATTGTAACGCTAATAAAAAAAAAACAATGTAATCCAACTTGGTATTCCAGTGAATTATGAAGTATTTAGGATGGTAATGTCATATGGATTGGAAACTGAAATTTCCTTTATTGTTGCATGCTTAAATCCAACAAAGTTTGGCGACAAAATAAAGATGAACATTAATTACATTCGACAAAAGTGAAGAAAGTCCACCTAGCATCATATAGCTGTTATTACTTTTATTTTCAAATATTCATAAGATGCGCAGAAACACAATAATATGCTATTTGACTTTTCGAAATATTATATCACATATACAACACTATCCTATGGATGATTTAAGTAATACTTATTTTTATTTTTTCAATCATATCTTGATGTTAATAGTATATGGATATGTACTGGTGGTGAAAGATATTCTTTTAAGTGCAAATGTGCTTTTGCTCTAAAAGTCACCTAAATGAGAGTGTACCAAGTAATGACTCCTTATGATAGTTAATAAAAACGATGTTAAACATCTAATTTCAATCAATAGCACATACTTGATAGTTGGACGTTAGCATTCTTATAGCAATGACTATTATTTATTTACTAGTCGATATACTAAGTAAAACCCAATTAGGATTAACCTATTTGTAAAATGATCAATATTCGACTATAAATTATGATTGAATTTTCTAATAGTTAACACTAAGTAAGGGATAGTATAGGTTCATTATTTAACTAATGGATTGAACACGCATACACTCAAAAATATAAAAGCAAAATAATACAAATAAAATATACTAGAAAGTAATAATCTCTATTTCAAAGAACACAAGAAAATCATGGAAAAATAAAGATTCTTTTTTACGTTTTGTTTAAATCTGAAATATTCTAACAAAAAAACCCATAATTGTGTAATTTGAGATGTGTAAGTGTGTGTGCAAGTACACAATCTGTAAATGAATAAGTTATTCCCCTTTATTATATGTATATATATATATATATATATATATATATATATATATATATATATATATATATACTGTGATCTTTATCGTTAAACAATGAGTGTATAGGTATTTAGAAATCCCGACAATATTATTAATCATTAATCTTAAGAGCAATAATAATAATCTAGTTAGGAATAATGTACACAAGCTAATAAAAGATTATACTTTTAAGTAATATTGACAGTAACCTTCTAAACAGTCTTCTTTTATTTTACGTAATCCATAATAATAATAAAAAGGGAAACGGACTTTAATCGTAGTAATCGTGAATAAAGCAAATACATCAGAAATCACATGAAGAAAAAACAAGTTTGAAATTTCTATCTATCTCATGTAAAATCTTGATATTTTCCTTCAAAAAAAAAACAAAATAATTTTCCTCTCCTCCCATTATTTACTTTTGTTTTTTTTGTTTTTTTGCATAATATTATATGCACAAGTATGGATACAGTATTGTAAAAAGAAGGGATAAACATACACAAATACACCATAGATCAAAAAGTTTAACAGTAGTATTAATAAATAATTATAATAAGTCATAGTCACAATCTGAATCTATGAATGGTGAGAAATCTGTAAATATTTATAATAAAGAGAAATATATTGTCTATGCATAGAAGTGGATGTACAGCCAATGGGTATTTATTTATTTATTTATACATTCATAAAGGAGAAAAAGAAATAGTGAATAATAAATTGAAAATTTCAATTGAAAGTGGACAGTAATAATAGAAGTTAATTTGGCGCTTTGGGCAAATAAAAAAGCAAAGTAAACAAAACAACGAAAATTTTACTAAACAAAATCTAATACAGACCAACATAATAATAATCACACCAATAACAAAAAAATATATCAAGGGAAAAACAAACCAAAAGCAAACTCTCTGAATAACATTGACAATAATAATAATAGTAGTATAATATTGTCAAAAGCACTATTTTATTGACATTTCATTTTTATAAATAAATGAATTATAACAATTTATAAATAATTAATAATAATATATTGGGAGGTTGGGGAAAGGCCAGGTAAAGCAAGAAAATTTAACTAAAAATAAAAAATATCTTATTCATGATAATACAATATGAATATTATGCCTTTTTTTCTTTATCATCAAATAGTGCGTACTAGTGTGAATAGAACAAGAGCACAGACAAACTAATCATTCAAAGGAAACAAAAGATAATAGATTGTATGTAATGTAACAAGTAATAATAAATAAGAAAACGAAAAAAAACGGAATAATCTAACATCTGAAGTGTGAATAATCTGTGTACACTAAAATCTTTTATTTTAATCTAGATTGATGTTCAATAAGTATCTATGTAGAATATTCCAGTTCATTTATTTGAACATTATTTATTTATTCTGATTTGATATTTTTTCAAATAAAAAAGAGGGGAACGGTCATAATCATCAAAAATAATGTAACAAAACAAAAAAAAACAACTCCAAATGTGAAATGAAAATAATTTAAGAGGTGAAATAAGGCAACAATTTATGGATATACACATACACACGCACAGACAGAGGAGGTTTAAGGAGATGGAGAAAATCCTCAATATTTAATAGTATTATCGATATCTTGCGATAATAATAATAATAATAATAATAATAATAATAATAATAATAATAATAATAATAATAATAATAATAATAATAATGGTAGTAACAAGCTAGAGATTCATTCAGAATAGTGACATTTTCCTCTACCAAATAAAAATAAGTCAAACAGAAATGAACAAAACAGAAGTATGATGATGATCAGTGGTTCTGCAGGAAAACACTTGACTGTGGAGTTCTTGGCAGATTATGTGGATAGCACTCATATGCAGAATTAGGCTGTAAAGTAAATGGAAAAAAAGTTGGATTTGAGATGGAAAAGATTGTTATAAATCTTGTACGTACACGATACTGAAAATCATAGACAAGACAAAAGATCGAATGAACAAATGGCTTTAAGATAATCTATTGTAATTAGTAAAAATTGGATGCATCAGTAGTATTAACAAAAAGGCTTGGTCTACCATGTCGAATTGTGAGGTAAATCGAGTAGCTGGATGATTTACACTAGAAATCCGACTGATATACTAATGAGATGGTTAATAAGTGATTTAAGAGAAAAGACGCGAATGCAAATTGAGTGAAATGGCAAACTTCTCATGCGCTTTAGTGTACGTTAAAATAAAATTGTTGATGAATACCAAGTTGAATCAAACCGAAACCTGCCAAGTAACCTTACAATTTCAGAAATTTCCAACAACTTAATGAGAAAATTCTCGTCAAAATCGTTATGCAGATTTTTGCAAATATCAATCAAAGAGTAAATGGAAAAAGCTTCGAAAGAATGTAAAAGGTTAGACATGAAGCCTATCAGTGACAGGAGATAAGGTTTGTAAATGTGGTCTGTCCGTGCTAAGAACGTTCAAAAACATATTGTGTTTCATTACTGTTGTCTCTGAAAGATCCCTAATATTTCTTGATCTTACTTTGTTATCAATCCTGAGGCCCAGAAATGTGTATTTAGTAGTAGTGACTATGAGACAACAGTATCACCATTTTGAACAACTGACTTTAGTGCTGTGGCCATGTTATAAGAATTTTATTCCAATGGCTTTGGTTTTATCTTGATAAATATTGATATTGTTGCTCGTTATACTTTGCTGATACAATCGGCTATCTGTTCTTATATACCTGGACTAGGACTGGCTGGGAGTCCCAGTAATCCCTTAATTAGGTAGTTACAGATGTAGTTCTACATAACATCCTTTATACAAGTAAGGCGAACTTTCTCAGATGGAAGAAATCTTGGTTGTGTGATTTGCTTAATTGAACTTAATTCTCTACTAGATACTGTTTTCTGAATATACAACCTTTTCCCCTTCTACTTCTTCTCAATACTTTTATTTCACTTTGTCTGAATCATAGTTTTTGACCCCCATTATATCAGAATTTATGAGATATAACATAAAATAAACGAAATATGTTAAACCCACGTATTTACAACTTTTTCCTATTAGTTTTAATTTGTTTAAACCTTATCTAGAAAATAGAAACAGAATTATTATTCAAAAACATATAGCCTGAATTCGACAGTGACCCGGTCGTCAGTGGAATTACTATCGAGAGTTGTGTACAATCGTGGACTACACAATGAAAAATCCAGAAATCAGTATGAAGAATTCAACTAAACAGTATTCTTTTAATGGACAAAAAAGTAAGCCAGTGACTTGGTAATAAACTACAGTCAGTAAGTAACAACGCAGAAAGCCGTACGTACGTACATCAGTTCGGACGTACGTAACACTTGTCCCAGCCATCTCAACTGATCAAGTTTCACTACTTCATCAATCGATTTGCCATCCTTACTTAGTACCCGTTTCCTAACAACAACTGATATTACTTACTCGGTGGTCTGAGGATATACGAGCAATGCTTCGAAGACACCTATGATCGAATACTAGTAGCCTACGAATATCCTCTACTCTTATTGGCCATGTTTCACTGCCATAAAATAGGACGAAACGAACTCTTGCGCAGTAAACCCGTCATTTCGTTGCCAGACGGATATCTCGCCTACGCCATAAATGAAGCAAATTGGCGAAAGCTAGACGAGCATCTGTATCCGTGCTGAGATTTCGTCGCACACCAGACCACAAGGGCTGATGAGACTCCCAACATAAGTGAAGCTGTCAACACGCTCAACTACTTCACTCCCTATCATTAGTTCAGGTGCCGATACAACCCTATCCTGCAGTAACATTTCGCATTTCGAGGGAGAGGATCACATCCCGAACATGCCTGCATAGTTGCTTATAGTGGTCGGAAGACTCTGCATGTTGTCAGCGTTTTCACGAAATAAAACTATGTCGTCGGCGTACTCTAAGTCAACAAGTGAATCTCCTGGTAAAAGTTCAACTCAAGGAGATTGAGATGATGAAAGTGTTATCTCTAAAAGCATTTCGACGACAAAGTTAAACAAGAATGGGGAGAGTGGACAGCCCTGACGAACGCCACTTGAGGTAACCAATTCTGATGACAGTTCGCCATAAGCTCTAACTCGACCAGTTGTGTTCGAGTAGAGAGCCTTTATGAAGTTAATGTACTTCTTTGATGCTCATTTCACTGACAAACACTGCCATAGAACCTCGCGATCAACGGAGTCAAATGCCGCCTTAAGGTCGAGAAATACTACTATTGTGGGGCGTCTGAATGTGTGTCTATGTTCTAGGACCTGACATAGTGTGAATATCTGGTCTATACAACCACATCCAGGTCGAAAACGAACCTGGTTTTCTCTAGTCTGCACTTCACGAGCTTTTGTTAGGCGTCCAAGTATTATTGAAACTAATATTTTAGACACTATATTAGTCAAACTGATCCCTCTGTGATTGTCACAAAAGGACTTTTGTTCTTTCTTATAGACTGGCACAATCAGTGATTGGGACCAGTCAGATGGTATTACGTCCAGTTCCTAGGTTCTAGCTAAGACCTAGCTGCTAGTACAGGACTGCCTACCTTAAAAATCTCAGGGGTAGACCTGTCAGGGCCTGTTGCTTTCCCATGTTTCAGATTCCTTATAGCTTTTTCAACCACATAAAGAGTTGGAAGACTTACATTAACTTGCCATTAAGGTCAACTGAGGATCGTGAGAAGCCAGAGTGTGGCTGAAGGCAGTTGAACTGATCCCTAATGTAGGTATCATTACCAAGTTTTGATTTGATAATTTTGAATAAATTAAGTCACGAAACGTCAGAAAATCTAATTTTCCTACTCATTGGGATATTACAAATATATTATTTATTTATCATCCCTAAAGTGTTCTGCCAATCGATTCAATCTCCTGGATTGAGAATGAATAATATGTCCATCTTTATCTCAGATAGTTTGGCTGATAGTTGCGTTCCTAATACCGGTTTCCTTAACAAGTCTGAACAGTTGTCTGCTGTTGCTTATTACCGCTGCCTTCTCAATCTCTCTTGCTTTCGCTACCCACCACTGTTCGCGATCATCGCGTAGGCTTCTTATGAGCCTGTGCTCAAGGTGACTCTGCTCTTTGTTATGTTCAAAGCCAGGTGGGATGAGTTTTCGAGCATCTATCAGTGCGGTAGATGCTGCCGAGATCCAGTGTTTTTCCCTAACCTTATGGTTTATCGTACCAGCAGATATCACTGCTGTTCCCACAGCTTTTCGGATGTGGTTCAACACTGCCTCGGGGTGGGCACAACTTACATGGCTGCCTAACTGTTTTTCCAGTTGTTCCTGAAATATATTCTTAGTTTGCCTATCATTAAGTAGAACTCTAAGAGGTTCCCTTGCAGTGTCTTTCCTACGTCCAGTAGGACGCAGACAGATACGCGCACACACTAGAGCATGATCCGAACCTAAACATGTGTTCCAGAATGAGCGACAGTCTTCTATCGAGCCCCTCCATCGGTGGCTGATAGCCCCGTAATCTAGTTGGGTCCAACGTTGGGACGAATTCGAGGGTTGCCATGTCAAAAGATGTTTTCCCTTGTGCTTAAAGCTAGTATTTGCTAGAAACAGACGGCTATCTGAGCAAAGTTGTAACAGACGGTCGCCACTTTCTGTTCTTTGAACCATGACACCATAAGATCTACCCAGATGTTATTCCCTTTCGATTAGTTTACCTGATTGAGCATTAAAGTCACCTGCCACTATTACTACATAAGAGCGCCTAACTGCTAGGAGAACGTCAGAAAGCTTTCTGTAAAACTCATCTTTTACATCGTCTGAACTACTGTCAGTGGGAGAGTAGTCAGAGACGACGAAGAGGCAGCGACAAGTGTCCCTATCTTTCTAAGTCCTTACTGTCCCGTTTAGTTGGATAGCGCAAAAACGACTGGGATCCGGTCTAAACGAGCTAGTTCTGTCTTAGAACTCACTGCTATACCTACTCCAGTGAGGCCATGGGAAGAAGCATCAGGGTTTCCAGATACACGAAGTGTGAACAGAGTTGGTTTATTATTTTGACGTGGTGAGGTCAAATGAATGATGCTACTCGGATCTTGTATGCGCGTTTCGGAGACGCAGCACACATCGATGGTGCGAGATTATAAAATCCTAGCTAAGGAAGCCTGTCGTCCTATTTGGCGCAAAGTTCGGACGTTAAAAGTTCCTACATGTCGTTTAGAACGTGGTTTCAGGAGACCAGGAATAAAGTACCGTGTACTCGAATCGCTCGCCCTAGTGGTGCGAGGTAATAAAAGGACGTGGGAAGGATTAGTCGTGGAGATAAGAGAGTTATTAGGATGTGTAGGGAGGATTTGAATGTGACCAACTTGGTCTGTGCTGTTACGGGTATGAGGGCTAATATCACTTCCCGGCTGCCCACACCATGGAAAGGCATTTCTTGAGGGACCCGAAAAGGAAGTTGGATTAATGCTGGTCTTAACGAATTGGGAGCGTAACCGCAGTGCACAAGGGACAACTGCTTGAGGCCGGTCGCACACAGCCTTTTTGTGGGGGATTTTTGACGTGTTAGCTCCGTTCTTCAAAAAGACCTTACTGACGGAGACGGAAATCCGTGAGGTAAATTGTAAGGTGACATTTTTAGGGTCAACCTTTTCTAACCCCTTCTTTCCTTGTGGGTAGGCAGCATCGCTGCAGATGCTGGTTGTCCGAGGGAAGTACCTGACTGCTGTCACAAATCTCTACAGTCAGCAGTACTGCTTCGCCCTCAGACCTTGAGTTGCTGCTTTTAGCCTTACTGTTCTCCAATCGACCTGCCTGGCATGGTAGAACCTACAGGAACATATGTTCAGTTGGGTCATCACGACAGGCAAGTCCGACCACCACGTCAAGGTAGCAGCTACGGTCAGTGGAAATAAACTACAGTCAAAAGAGTAGAAAGAAAAAATTAAGGTATTCAGTAGGACCATAAATTAGAACTTAAAAGGATTTTCGAAAACTAGCGAATGACAGCAGTGAAGATATCATGTAAATAAATAAAAATATGAGGAACGCAAGATAAATGAATACAAGTTGTACAAATTTTCATAACAAACTAACATACTCTACTATCAAAGCTTCCATCTTGTGATGCTACTTCTTCTTCAATCTTCTCTGATGTTGGATGATCAGTAAAGCTTGATCGAGATGAACATCCTGGACGTCGAGTATCTGTTTTGTTACATAATGAACCACAATCATCTGTTCTTTCTTCTTCTTCTCCATGTTCTCTTTTTACACTGACATTGTGTCTTGATTGGACTGGGTGTAATTTGGAACCGCTGAAATCAAGATCAGCTGGGGTTTCATTTTGCATCATTAACTCATGTAAATATCGACTATCAGTTGCATTTGTATGTGCAGGATGAATTGAGTGTCGTGGAACAGATGTGGACAAATTTGGTGTATTTCCACTACTATTAGAACCACGTTGATTTGCTTCATTCAATAAAAGCCATGATTGATAAACAGCTTCAAGAGACTGCAAATTTCTCAATGAATTGGCAGATGAGGAGTGATGTAACTGTTCTCTTGATTTTAGATCACCACTAGGTTCCGAGGTCATTTTCTCAAGGCTCTTTAATTTCATTTAATTAAAACAAAAAGTACAGATAAATAAAAAACAATCTCACCCATTTTTTACTCAATCTATTTGTTTATTTATCTGGAAATTTAATCGTTAAAATAAGCCTTCATTTGAGCAATAAATAAAAACACAACGAGCCTAAAATGATGACATAGTTTGAAATTCCGAAAACCGGGTTACTAAAAATCAATAAGTAACATACAGAATGGACAGCTAGCAAGCAAACAATTATCTGTGCCTATAATACATACATATACAGATAGGAAGTGAATCTAAGCGAATACGAAATAACGGACAAATATTAGGTAAATGAAGTATCTGACTTTTAGATGCTAAGCTAGCATATATGAGTGTCATGATAACTAGGTTAACAGAATAAGTATACACAAGTGAATTTTATAGGAAAGGGAATGAGAAACAAACTTTAAATAGTAACAACGTGACCAAGGATTACAACACTGGCAAATTATTGGACCACAATGGGATAGAAAACTCAGACAATGTCTGAATTGAGGACATTCTATTCAGTCAACAGTAATAATGCTAGTAAATCAAAGGTATGAAAATGAACAGAAACAAAAATATATTGTGGGAAATATTCTCTGTTCATCTGCGCAAACACCCAGAAATCTAATTCGTATGATATTCTATAGCAAAGAACTATGGGAAATTGCACACAGAAAAGTTTTTTGTCAACTAGTACCGAAGAAATATGAAGAAAAAATCAAGGAAGTATTTTGCTTAATTTTTGAGTAAATTTTATTGATACATAGTCAGTAATGACTTTAAACTGGTCAACTTGTTTCTCTTTCTAAAAAAAAGATTACTAAATCTTACGGTTGACACAACATCAGCAAAAGCACATATGAAAATGAAAATAAGTTCCGTTACATGGTGTAACATATGAGACATGAGTAGTAGAATTAGGAGGACAAAAAGTATCAAGGTTGTCTTATACCACGAAGCATAAGTGAAATCAACTTTGTTTTTTTTAAGGAGCTACAAAAGAAGCTGTAGGCTTCTTATAACTAGAACAAAGATTTGAATGCACAAATAATCCCTAATACAGCTAACCATATTGACTCACATTCATTCAACTTACATCATAGGTTTTACAAATTCAATTCAATTCACCTGTATAGTTGATAATAATTTAGTTACTTGCAATCCTATCGTATTTTCCCCGTGGTATTTTTTAAAAGAGAAATAACTTGGATGAGATTTAATAATTCACTAGGCAATCAGTCATAAAGCATATTGTATTCAAGAAAAACTTTAACACTAATAAAATTGATATGTTAATATCCCAGAGAAGAGTAAATAAGTGGTAACTGATAAGAATTATCTATGGCCTATTATTACATATATTATCATTGGATACCTATTAAATAACTAAATTATACATATATTCGTATTTCTTTTATCATAAACTTTTACTTGACCTATTGGCTACTGTTATAGGTTTTACCATTCTTAACTTATTCTCAATTTATTACTTACAGTATCCATACTTGTTGTATCCCCTGGCGAATTATGAATCATAAATCTGAGGTCTATTTATGGACAAATGTAATACGCCTATTCCTATTGGATAGTTGTTAAATAAGTGACCTAATCGTTTCCGTGTTCCTCTTATCATACCTTTATTTTGACCTTGGAACTATTATTATTGATTACTTTCCCCCTAGCTACAGCCACATTGGCCAATTACTGTACAAATGTTATTTTTCTATTTTTGATATATGTGGTCTGTTTGGTTAGTATATATAACCCAGTATGCTTGTAAATAATGATTCATATTGCTGAGGCTGTTATTTGTGTTTTGGACTTAACGGCTGGGCTAGGCAGATAGGAAGGACCGAATAGCACCCAAGACTGCTCGTACGTATTTTACGTATCATTGAACGTTTATATATATTAGTCGGCCCAAAAATCTATACGTTATAACAATACTCACAGGCACTTTTGACTTGGTCTTGTATGATAATTATTTTTATTTTATGGTGTGATGCTGTCTAGTTTGTTTTTATGTCTGAAACATACGATTCATACAGCGGAGGCCGACATTTGTGTTCTGGACTGAACGGGCTGGGCTAGGCGAGAGGTTGCTACATAGAGGACCAATAAGGACTCAGAGTTGACTCAAGGCTGCTCGAAATGGTTAACACAACATTACCTTAGCACAGATACAAGGTCATATGAGTCGGTGTTCTGATTGGTGATTTCGTCACGTGCTATTTGACAGAGGCATAAGTTATAACAGGATACGAATATAATACAACATAGTAAAATGTCCTGTACAAATACATATCCTTTGAATGAAACTAAACTAAATAAACGATGAACAATTCTATTCGGAAGAAAAAAAGACGAAATCTTACCTCAATACGTTGTAAAAGGAGGGGGATTAGTTGACGTGCTATCGTATTTTCTTGTTTAAGACTTTCCATTCTTGAAACAGCTTCACGTAACTCCATAATGTAACTAACTGAAAGTCGAAGAACACTACCTTTATTTCGTCGACCATCTCTATAAGAAATGGATATGTTTTGAAAACATGGTAAATCATTCAAAAAATGCGATTTATCAAACGAGAGAAAAAACAAAGTAGTTTTTAACATAAACTCGACACTAACTGGAGAACAAATAGAAAACCCAAGAGTACTTGTTAGTTGTTCCAGATTAAATATACATTCGACCAAAAAATTTACACTCAATAGGAATTTAACCCTAATAGACATATATTTAGAAATCTGGTTATTTTTTGATCGGCTAATGATTCAAATTATGAACTAGGATTAGATGAAATTTCAATTGGAAACAGAACAGATAAAATATCGATCGTATCAAATTTCAAAATATTCCCGTACAATCCGAAATCCTACTGGAACAGATCTATTGAAACAAAAGTTACACTGCAATCAGTGTATCAGATCCTAATGATTAATATTTTTAATACTGAAACCAATTGGATGTAGGCAGATTGTGTTGCGAAACAATATGTGAGGATCCACCTAGACGAGTTGGAAAACCCTGATTCCAAACCAATGGTGAACATGGGCTCCAAGATCCTAAGGGAACAAATGGCGCATGAACCAATTATTGGTCACCGGCTAACATGAGACTGCATTTCCTAACGTTGCTCCACTGACTTGTTGATCAGACATTTAGGTTGAGCGCTCCGGGCGTGGCTCCCTAAGAAAACCACCTGATTCGGTTTAGGCACCCGGTCAGTATCACAGCCCACACATAAATCAAGTGACTTGTGTGGCACATATGTATTCTGTGCCCTTTTGTACCAACATTTATGTGTCCAAATAAATAAATAAACAAATAAATAACGATATGTGAGGAAACTGCCATGATCAACAAGCAAGTCTTAAATATTCACCTTAAGCAGTGTCAATTAGCAATAGGTTGTTATTAAATTTAGGGATACTATTGACGATAAACCAATCGGCCAAAAAAAGTGCTTAATCCGTTCATGAAGAGGATCCGTCATCGCCAGAGATGATAACAAGGTACAAAGTCACTAGTTTTCAGTCACTTATTGAATTCTGTTTGTATGATGAGGAAATTACCCTACCTTTTTTAATTTCGTAACTGACTTGTTATCTATTATTGAAAGGAGTATTCTTATACCCACCAAGGAGAATCACGTTACGCAGAACTTGGAAATGGTAAATATTGCCACTTATATTAGGTAAAAGTTGATTAATGTACTAGAGATAAAATATTTTGAAATATAAGTAGACCGAAGAATGAAAGTTACAAGGTAATAAAAACAACTGCATTCTAAAGTATCAAAGATGACAGTGATTACAAGGAAAAGCCTAAAAGAAAAAATAACTGACTTACACATCCCGATACAGTTCCGGTGGGAGTAAACTACTGAGATAGACGATTTGTGAATTAATATAATCTCTTCGCTTTCGTTCAACTAGACATTGAAAAATGAAAAAAGGCATAATAACTTAGATTTCTAAATAATATTTGGATTGACTTGAAAAAAACAGCAGATTCAATAGGCAAAGTTATTATACAAGGAAGTGAATTAATCTAGTTAATAAGAAAACTGGGAAAATGAGTCCACACAAACTTATGATCAAAAGAACTTTCAAAATTTTCAAATAAAATACTCATAATAAGTTAACAAATACCGTCTTCACGGATCATATTATCAATTGATTTATAGGCCAAATTGAAAGTAAGAACAATTACCAGTTCAAAGACCTTAAAGTGAGCTCTTCAATAGGATTAAAACATACGAACACGCAACTACCAACGTACTCATGAAATCATGGAATGGAGGATAGCAAAAATGTAACATACTGTTATAAAATATGGAATTAATCAACTTTACTTTCAACTCAACAGAATTATTAAAAGTCAGATAATCGAGTGAATACACATGCTCACTCAATCATAATACACAGGATTTTGCATGTCATCGCAATTCATCACAATGACCATTAATACAACCAGAAGAAATGAACAGAATATACATTAAAAGTGAATGCTAAGCACACAAAATGTAACTTGAAAAGAACGAACGAAACGGACGGATGAATCGTGAAGCTTCAGAAATAGAGTGGCTATGGCATCACAGATTATGATCATCTCGTGGACATGAAATAAGGACCCTATGCATGAAGAAACGACGCACTATAGTAAATAATTGATTGATGGGCTGATGGTATATATTTATAAGAACTTTTCTCAACATTAAGAGTTACATTTCTAAGTGACGGATTAAAATTCAAACTTGACAGAAGTATTGAACAACCAAACTTATCATTTTTTTAGGAGTTTTAACTAGGTTTGTTTGTATTGAGTACAAATAACTTCATACACATATGTATATATTTCTAACAATTCATGTAAGCTAACGTTTTACAATAAATTAATTTTTATTTGTCATTTAACATTATTTCGTCAACTGTGAGCTAGCAATTACATGTGGTATATTGATATGAAAAAATGAGGTCTATTTATTGATATGTTGATGAAAACAATTAAGAGTACCAGTGGAATCGATTTACTGCACTATATTTTGCATGTTGTAAAAATAACATTCCAACGTTTACGCGCAATCTTGTAAACAGAATAACAGAAAAAAATAACAAGCCAATGAGCCATAGAGATCATCCTAGTATGTGCACAAATATTATGAAGAAAATAATCACTGATTGGAGATCTGAAATTTCAAGTTTACAAAAATTCTTATTTTGTATTTTATGACGGATAATGAAAACGTAAATAACAAATACAACCAACCATTTAAAAATATTAGTTTCTTGCCAATTTCACAGAAAAAAAGGATTAAATTATATTCTAATAGATTGCTTAAAGTCGATTGACGAGGAGTCTGATGAAAAGTCAAAATTCATAAAATTAGGTTTACTCTAAGAATTGCTTGACAACAAAACATGGATATCATCTAAATAAACAACAAGTTGATCAACTTATTTAAAAAATCACACATGGTATTTTTCTCTGTATAATAACCATGTATATTCATTTCGAAGGTAAATTAATCATATAATACAAAATTACTAACATCAATATTAGTAACAGCACACTAGCAGTAATTAAAAAGGAAATTTACGTAAAGTTGGCTTCGAAATACAATAGGATACCATATATATAAAGTCGAGTTTTTCCCGCATCTAATCTACAAAAGAACTTTTTACAGCCGAAAACAATCTCAGCTAGGAATTTTCGCTTTCAACATATGTAGAAAAATTTTAGCGGGCCGCAAAAGTAGGTCAGTTAATTAACCTACGACTCCTAATAAAGATTTACTTACTTTTAACACAAGTAAAAATTATCGATTTTCGATATCACAAGGGGTAGTAGGAACAACTTAGGTTAATTTTTATTATCCTTACGTACTTAGTATTAAATTAAAATCCAACATTACTATGAAGAAAGTATTCTACGAAACTAGTTGAAGAAAAAGAAACAGATAATGATTGAAAACGTCAAATGATTATTGCAAACAGAAATCCAGCTGCAAAACTAACGAAACTTGTTGACTTTATGATAGCAAGTATTTCAAAGTTCTTCTGAAGTTTTATATGAAGTACTTTAGGTCGAAAGTTCCACTTTCTGATTCCTTTTTCGCTTACTTTTTCATATTAATTGCATTTTCTTGGTAAATTCTCGATTGATCCGGCTCATTTGTAAGGAAATAAGAATGAGAAAAAAACTAGCAACTTCAAAACAATGGTAAACTAACTTCTGTTATGACTCTCTTTTTTTGAACGTTGCTTTTGACTGACAGCTTTAGCGGGATCTTGAACTGGATGATTAGTCAATACTGGAGGTGTACTGAATAGATTCGAACTTGAAGAGCTATTCGGAGAGCAAAAGGCTTGATGGGGTGCAGAACTAGAAGTGGTAGTGGCTGAAAGTGAAGGTGCATAGATTGGTACTGGAGCAGTAGTTGGGGAATGAGAATTAGGTAAAAGCATTCCTAAACGTGTATTCTGTACATCGGAAGGACAGCATCCAGATTGAGTGGCAGGACTTAATACGATGGAACGAGATTTATTTGACGTAGAGGAGCTGGAATAATTGGTAGAATATGCATAGTGTGAATTAGTTTTCTGATGACAATCCATTAAATCAGTGGTTGTAGGCATTGAACTAGCAGGAGAAGAGCTAACCATACCGCTATAAGTGGCCGTTGAACCTGGGATCAATGGAATTAAATGTCCTGGTTGTCCGTGGAAGGAAGAAGCTTGTGGCTGGTTGTGAACTGATGTGTTCCCAAAGGGCTGCCATGCGAAAACTGAATGTGGAGCCATATTAGGCGTTCCTTTACTGATTGGAGCGCTTGAACTGCCTTCTAAAGATGGCAGACGTTGTCCATAGTCAAACTAGAAAATGGAGAGAGAAAAGAAATGATAAGTACTGGGAAGAAGCGCAAAAAAGTAAGCAACACTTAAGTGTAGTTAGAAAAGTAAATACACTATCCTAAACAAACATTTTGTAGACGAAAATAATGTAGAAACAGGTACAACTTTATAGTGTTTGAGAGTTACAAGAAAAACTGAATTGCCTCCAATACAGAGTATTTAGTATTTTCGCTATGACTTACCAGAGTTAAGAAACATTCGTAAATCAAACGACGGGATACATTAGAAAAATAACAAGAATGGAAAAATTGGACTACAACAGCTAAATATTGGACGCTTAATATAAATCCTCAACTGTAGTTTATATCTAAAGTAATTTGTTCCACATTCGACGACCAAGTAGTTTGAACTGAGTGAAAACAGGTTGATTTGGAAACATCTGATAGTATGTATAACACATTGTAAAAAATGTCTTGTTGAGAAGTCAATATTTTACAAAAGACTAAATGGTATTTCACTTATCTGGGTGGTGGATAATGAAAAATACCAATATGAATGAGGAACTCGAAATATGAGATGACATTACCATTATTTCATGACCAACAAAAGATCGACTTGCCTTCTAATAGCCGAACATTGAACAGTAAAGTAGAATTAGTGTGTAAAGCATGAAAATGCAATCTTGCTCTCTAAAGGTGAAGTGGATATATGAAATCATTACTTAATAACTGAAAGAAAAATATCAGTGAACTACGAAACCAGAAAAATTATATATATATATATATATATATATATATATATATATATATATATATATATAAACTAACTCATTTACCTAGTACTTGGGCATGAACAACATTTTAAGTGTGAGGGTTGATGATGTCACTCGGTTGCACAAACAGAAGTAGGCTGAAGAGAGTTCGAACCTATAAATTGGTGGCTTGATATAGAACGCCTTAACCATCAGGGAACATATAGAACTACATACAACCTTATGTGAAGTAAGGAAATCGTAAGGTTACCCACTACGAAATGATGGAAGATACTTGTATCTTCGGTGGACGCTTTTATTAATGTTAAGTCTCCTCAACTAGGTGGTTCTTTTGGGAAGTTTCCTCTGTTATCTCAGTGAAATCAACCACATATATGCACTATAACACCGATTTTTACGAAGTTGATATCGCAAAAGTCAAAACGTTCTACGTAAGCTGATAAGGCGTTTACTAAGCAAAACATGCATACTAAGTGAATTGAGATAAACACATTATCATGCGAAAAACGAGATGTTTAATGTACTTTTACGGTCCCTTAAGCCAAACTTTACTGGTCTTAAATTGCGAAACCGTAGGTTCAAACTGTGATAGACTTGTTGAAGATTTATAGCGTCAAGAGAAGTGGATCCAATGTCCAGGCGGTCAACTTTTATCCCCTATTTTCCAGTCCCAAACACTGTTCTAATTACTTTGGTTAGGGTAACCAGGTGGCATCACTATCCCTCACAGTTGGAGTGTAGCTTAAAACCCAGTACGTGAGTCTATGCGTGATAAGTTAATGGAAAAAAGCTAGGTCTCATAGAAGTTTATTTCATAATTAGGTCCAATACCTTGTGAAATGATAAATATAAATACATAACATTTATATTAATTAGAAACAGTCATATTTTAATTAAGATGTTTCCATTGCATGAATATATGAAAAATTCGATAATATTAACGAGAATAAAAAATATAAATTATTTCAAAAACCGAATATCCTGTTATCAACGATTCGAATTTATAAAGAAACTCCCATAATTCAGTAGAAACCACGAAGTTGAAGTTGCCTAACAAGAAAACTACTGATACAACATTTAAAGTGAGTTTCAAATGTACACTAATCGTACGTTAATAAGCATAAACTTGAGGGATGTTTATTTATTAGATAGATCACGGGTAACAAAAAACAATGACTGATATTTCAGAGGCTTTGAACCAAATCAAAATGGGAGCTAAGTGTTCTTTTAAATATAACTATCATAATTGAGTAAACGCCTGATGAGATACTCTACAATCTAGCTTCTTAATATAACTTAGTGAAGTAAAGCAAAGAATATCATGCTTAGTTCCAAGTTTAAAATGGATTACATCAAAAGATTCTAATAAAAAGCAACATTAAGTTTTCGAATGACTTGTAAACCTATATTTTATGAGCGAATTTAAATACATGCTTACAGTTAACAATAAATGATGTAATATGGCTACTAAATCACATCAAAAACCATTAAAAAAAAAACAAAAGAAAACGAAATGAAGAAACAATTTTAAAAATTACATGCTGGTAATTAAAATTAGATTAAACTAATTCGATGGGTTTTTCTTTTCTTAAAGTACACTATTTAAGTGCATAAGCGTAGTGTGTTTTCATTTAATTTTGTGTGCACATACGCGTATAAGTTAGCTTGTATATATGCATATATGTGCAAAAGACTATTGATTAATTTGAACAGTAGTAAATTGTAATAATAATAATAATAATAATAATAATAATAATAATAATAGTGCAAATATATTTATTGCTGACAATAAAAAGGGTCTTTCTCATTCAAAAAGACTATATTTTAAAAAAACACAATTCATATCTTTTTCTAAAACACTAGAAAAGATAACTATCATAAATAGTAAATTAGTACTTTATATATATATAGTTCGAAAATTGGCAGTTATTATCTCCTCCAACATTATTTTATGAATCATATGAGTTATGTTTTGATTCAATTAAATATCACCAGAAAAATGAAAGGAGAAAAAAAGCATAGAGTATATTATGACAGTGGAAGACAAAAAAGAGCAGAGTAGGAAAAGATAAAGTAAAAGAAAATCAGGAAGAAAGGAGGAAGTAGTAATGGCAAATCATTTCAGCGTGATGATGAACAGATACTGAGCGGGAAAAAAGTTGATGAATCCAGTTTTCTATATTGAATCATAAGGGATAAATTTAAAATTATATAATTATGACGAAGAAAAATTAAATCTTGGAATATGTCGATAGATTTACACGGGACGAATCAATCTTAATTTAATATTACATAAATTTACGCGTATAATTGAAACCAGTAATTAGACTTTATGAAAAATTACCGTGATGTTTTATTTATTCGAATTCTAAGGTTTTAAAAAAATCCGACATACTCCGTAGACCGAGATGCATAACATACACTCCAGAATTTACAGTCGATTTAGAATAGACTAAAACACTGTTGTCTTTATTGAAAGTATCATTAGCTTAAACATATTACGATTTCTATAAAAGCTATACGGATTAAAAAACAGCTTTTTTTTAAAAATCACATTATTTGCGGGACAGATCTAATTTCATATATGAACGGTACATGAAGTAAATAGGTCAGGTCCATTTTCATAGCTCTTTGATGGTTTCTCTTAACTGATTACTATCAACAAAGGCATTAGAAATATCCCACGAACAATGATTTGAGTAAAAAGTATGTAAAATCGGATAAAAGTGGGACTATCAATAATTAACAAATATTTTAACATATCAGACCGACTTCTATTATGAGACTGAACTTTAATGAAGCTAACAATAAAAGCATTGAGATTATTTCTTATTAGTAAATCGGAACTTTAAGTCAGGTAGTTACGTGTATAAATTTAAATCAATTGTTACGCGGGCTAAAAGAACCAAACATCGAAAAGTTGATTAACACAAATTGTTTAACCCATACGGGTTTATGCAGAACGGATTTATTCCATATGAAATACAAGTAAATTGCTCTTGCGAATATACTTTTTAAGATCCTACAATCGACAGGTAGCCGCATTTACAATGCTCATTTTTTCCAAAAGAGATAAAGAGAACGAAAGGACAGGGTAAAAACTGGATTACATGAGGATGTCAGTCTTTAAGAAGTTAATCCATACTGTGGAGAGGGCATTAACAAAGATTTGAATAGAACATGAGCTTTATTTTATTTCATTCAGTTTCCATCAGCTACTTACAACCTAGAATATTTTAAAATCAAAATTATCGAAAAAGATATTGTATTTATACTACTGAAATGGATTAGATGTCAATATGTATCATTATGGGAAAATGGCGATTAGAACAGAAGTAATCAGATTAATAAAATATAGAAAATGTTGCAAACAAGTACTATCCGAAAGAGGATTGCAGAACATCAGAATAGCAATTTAAGTTTACAGAGCTAAAATACCATTTGATTACGCAACGAAGTAGATGGTAATATATATATTCCCATTTAACTAATTTCACTGGTATATGTATTTTAACTTTGTGGATAATTTTTATTCTACAATACCACAGGTTGTGGATCGATAACGGGAACGTAACAAAACAAAATAAATTCACGTTATTCTGCCCAAAAATATAAATATGAGAGAATAACAGGTTGATTGAGTGTACTGAGAACAATGTATGCTGAACTTTTTTTATGTACACAGTTTTTTAGCGCGGACTTTCACGCTCATCTGAATATAAAATACTGACCTTAATAAGAACAAAATGAAAGATATATACTGGTCAGGACGTTAGATCGTATAGTTCTATGAAGACTTTTGGTTAAATGTGACAAGTCAATTAACATTCATAATCAATACATAACCTTACAAAATGTTTGTTAGCCAAAGTTTTCAAACCACATAGTTTAAACTAACTAGTCAATGAATTTATGAAGAGATACCATGTTTTGATTTGTACACTCATATAGCTAGCAGTCGAAGTAGATGGTGACAAAAAAAAACATGGAAGATTAAGTACCAAAGTTTTTATGTGATACATCTTAAGGTGGATATAAGTAAATACTGATTCATCAAACAGAACCATAGTGACAATGGAAACTTGAATGCTGCTAAAAAAATTAATTTCATACAAATAAGTGATCGCATGTATATATATATATATATATATATATATATATATATATATATATATATATATATATATATACGCAACGTCAGGACTTACTGTTTAACGTTGGTTAAATACATACAACTTAATTATTACACTCATCAAATACGCATAAGCATCTAAAAATCTTTTTTTTTCTTAACATATAAATTAAATTAGCAGTACATGTCATTAAATTTTTCACACAATTTGAGAGAATTGCAATAGTCAAATTAAATCAATATGAAATATTGACTTGATGAAATTTATTTTTAAAAAACAATTTCGGTTTTATTTAGTAGCAATTCGCTCTACTAATACTTCATCTTCATATTGCGCAAATATACATGCGTGAATCATTCTGACCACTGTAGAGTAAAATAATGATGGACATAAATAGTATTATTATTAATGGAAGATTCTGGTTCTTTTTTAAGTAACTCAATAAACTATGACAAGATATTAGTTCGTCCTTGTGTGCCCAGGGCTGGGAGAGTAAGATAAAAATAATAATAATTTCCCGATTTTTAGTGTGAAAATGGGAACAACAACATGAAATATTATGTGACGGCCATCAATTACCATTAATGGTGCTGACTAGGTTGAACTCCACCAGACACCCCTTTTAACTGAAATTAGAAGAAATATTCTTATAGTCCCTTGCGACGACATGACTATAGTTAGGAATAGTGCTTTCTAGGTCTGTATAAAACTTTTATGAACATTGAAAATAGATTTCTAATATACTGCCATTTTCACCAATAAAACTACCGTCTTTCTATTTTGCTTGTTTTATGTCTGTCACTTGAGCTGTTGTCTTTTTTTCAGGTATTCTACAGATCACGAGTAAAGTATTCACATGCGGATATAAAATATGAACGGAAAAGATAGAAAATAATGATCATCAACTAGGGGTCTCTCCACCTACCACAGGGCAGCTACAACATATATCTATAAAAAATCACACTATCTCATAGCTGGAAAATTTGAATGCTAAATAGTGTTCTATTTTAATAAAACAGGATTTGTGAATAAGTCGGATTTACTTATCAATGAAACGGAAATGTACTTTTCAAAATGTAGAGGTACAACATACTTGTTCGAGTACCCAAACAAATTTGTTTCCCAAACTTTTGCACAAATACTTCGGTCCTTTAACTTTATTCTACAGCCTCCACAATTAAAATATTTATAAAATGCAAGCCATGGATGTTAGTTAGATTAACTGAAGTCAGTTCTATTAATTTGTCTATATTATCGTAAACAATTGAAGTTTTTTTCAATTAGTGTATGTCATGTTATGACACAGGAACATTTGAATTAAACCCAACGGTTACTAGAATCTATAAGCAGTTTTCACTCATTTAATTGTTTTTTTTCCATTACGTATAATTTGTCACAAGTGCATCATACCTAAACTTTGCACATCGATGACAGTCAACACTCTAACATACATAAACATGAAATTAAGATTATGCTTGAAACCAAACAGTTAAAGTTAAAACATTTGAGGAGTGGTTGGTTGGTCCTATAGACCAATTACTTATTGTAGAGCCAAACATTCAAGCTCGTATAATCGATTATATGAAAATATGAACAATTGTCTCATGCTTTATCATCAAGACAAGGCATAATCAGAGTTCAAGTTATTACCTTATATCCGAGATTTATCTACTTCGTTAAATTATAAAGTCAACATAAAGGTAATTATTATTAGTCATTAAGTTTGCTTGTTCATAAGAAATAAAGATGGATACGTGAAAACACATTTGAAAAAAAGGTAAGAACAAAAAAGCACTTTTACTAGTTTTATGACATTTCATTGATTTTTTTTCTTTCTTTAGATCTGAACTTTAAGTGATCTGAATATAGACAAAATGTGCACTGTGTACAACAATTAATGCAGATTGTTTTAACAAAGAAGAAAAATTAGGTGAATTTGTACGCTAGCAAAATAATAACAATGGTAATGATTGTTATCATAATATAAGAAAGTGAATAGATGAACACAACAAAAACAAAATACAGACACATTCGTTAACAAATGTCCACAAATACATGGAAGAATTAATATGGTTAGAGAAGAGAATAAAAGGTACTTGTTTATTATTGCGACAAAACCATCAGTACAATTGTTGTTCGTGCTAATGATACCAATAAGTGGACAACTACGAAACTATCATGCGATGATAATTGAGGTGATAGTAATAATAACTTATTATCATAAACTAGGGAGTACTTTAATAAAAAATTTTAGAACCTTGTACTCTTAGGCATATTTAGTTGCAGAAAGAAAACTTTTAAACAACAATAAATCTTCATTGTGTTACGATGACAATATCAATTTCAGATTACTCAAATGATAAAATATATTTACTCTCTCAACATAAATTGGCTTGTTCGTACTATAAAAGCGAGATAGACAAAAATTGAGAACGAATGATTTTTTCGATAGAAAAAAAAATTAATAGTCAACTACAAACGACAAGACTGTGTCAAGGATAAAGTACAAAATTGGTACATATTATTTGACTGAGATAGAGCTTAACCTTGAGTAATAGTGCATTTGATTAAGTTGAGATACACCGAGACAGAAACTACGTAAGAAAAATAATTTTAAGTTTACATAAAAAGAAGACAAAAATAAATGGATGTAGAATAATATTTCTGGATATCCGTTATGAGCTACAAAAGTCAGTTATTTTTAGTATCTTATTTAAAGCAGGTAATGGGCCTAACATTTCTCACATAGCTCAAGTTAACAGCAGGTCTTTATGAGGATTGATGGCACATTGTAGTAAAGTAAATCAAAAGCCTTTTCTAAACTACATGAATAAAAGTAGCGATCAAATTTGTTCAGTCACAAACTAACGGTTTAAGCCATGACGACCTTGATAAAACCGCATCTGAGTGTTTATATAGTTCCATAGAAAGCCTGAATACAAAAGCAAAGGTCAACGTTCCATAACCCAAACGTTTATCATGGCAAAAATGTTAAAAGGAATTTTAGACAAGCTTATTCGCATTTTTTAATGAAAATATTGACTGGTTCTCTCAGTGAAAAGGAAGAAGATAGAAAAACCTGTTGGTGCAATTCTAGTAGTTGCTAACCATGGCATTTAAATACATTCATCGATTACCCCAAGGTCAAACATGTGCACTTTACGTATTATTTGGATGTCCTATATAGTGACCAAACATTTAGCATAAATCAAACTACATATTGGTGTAGATATATATACCAACAACGATACACACAAAGCCGGTTGTTCTATTTCTGACAAAAGTTGGACCAATTGTGGGACAATAACCTGGATTAAGTACATATCACTTTAGCTTGGCAAGGTCATACGTGCATTTGCACAATATATACACGAAAACTAATCCAATTTCAACTATTATAAACGAACCAAAACTACACAGGTTGTACGACTATGGATAAAGGGTCCTGAAGGTAAACACTGGTAACAGTAGGAGAGGTTGTGTAAACCACAAAAAAAGGATTTTTTTTCTGTCCAGTAATTGCACATTGAGAAAACCTAGTTTACATCAGACCATGGGTTGTTCGATTAATTCAAATGGCAAATCTGGTAGCGACATTCCATCTATGCCCCCAAATGCCCTGGTACGGCCGAGAGTGGGGAGAGTCTACTCTCCCTCTCGAAATGCTCTCACATGGCCAGCGAATATATAGCCTCTGTCAGGGAAGTCCTACTCACTGCCTTCTCGTGGCGGGGGTGTTGTTTACGAAAGTGAGAGGACGAAAAGCGAATGTCCGGCGCTATAACCGGATTGGTGGACACGGAGGGTCCACCTAGGGGAGTTGGAAAACCCTTATTCCAAACCAATGGTGCACATGGGCTCCAGTATCCTGATGGAACGAATGGCGGAAGAACCTGTCATTGGTCAACGGCAACCATGGGACTGCATCTCCTCACGATGCTCCACTACCTTGTGGATCAGACCTTTAGGTCAAAGGCTCGGGGTGTGGTCCCCTAAGAAAACCACCTGCTTCGGTTTGGGCACCCGGGCAGTATCACAGCCCACACACAAATGAATGAAATTATGAACTCTATTGACGATAATATCCCTGGTCATACTAAAAGCAAGACAATTAACATTATTATTACTATTACCTTTATTATTATTATTATTATTATTATTATTATTATTATTATTATTATTTACCATATCGCTAACTCACCCGCTTTTATCCCCAATTTGTGTAACCTTACTTTTCAACTTATGCAGCAGCTCGCCCATGGTGGAAAATCTGTCCTATCTAAACGATCTCCAGTCACTGTCTGGTTGAAAGTGAATGCTTCCACCGATAATGAATACTGAAGCAGTCTTTCTGAAACCACGTACGCCGTTCAAGCTAGCCTCCTTCAACGTTCGCACACTAATGCATATCAGACAACAGATAGGGCTGGCTATGTCTTTGGAAGGTCTTAATGTTGATGTTTGTTGTCTATCCGAGACCCGTATTCAAGACTAGTGAAGTACTACAAATCCGCTCTCCATCTGTCGCCTCGAAGAGCTTGTTCCACGTGCGCTTATCCGGGGACCCTGTGACATCTTCGTCTGGTCTTGCAGGCGTTGGTGTTGCACTAAGCGCTAAGGCTGAGGCAGCACTAATCGATTGGATCCCCATTAACAGTCGGTTATGTGCTGTTAGATTAGAAAGTTCCATCAAAGTGAGAAGAAATCGGCGTGAGAAACGGTGTCTTTTCGTCATCTCCGCCTATGCTCCGACAGATTGCAGCCCGGATGCAATAAAGGATGAGTTTTACCATCAGTTAACAGTTCTTCTCCAGAAAGCGCGTTCGACAGATATTGTAGTACTAGCCGGAGACTTGAATGCACAGGTCGGGCGTATAGACACAGAAGAGAGTCGTTTAGGTGGCCGATGGGGACTTGTTGGTCGCAGGACAGATAGCGGGGACCGTTTGCTGCAACTGTGCACAGACCACAACCTGTTTCTGGCCAGCACTAACTTCCGGCACAGTCATCACCGTTGTGCCACCTGGCGTCCTCCCTCTGCATCCCAAGCCTGTACTCAGATTGGTCACATCGCGATCAGCTACCGCTGGCGTGGTTGTGTACAAGACTGCCGCTCCTTTTGGAGTACCTATCTGGAGTCTGATCATGCCCTGGTCTGCGCCAATCTCACCTTACTTTTCAGTGGCCGAAGGATTGACCAGCACCAACGGATTGATGTTAGTAAACTGGCTGCAACTTCTGTTGCAAGTAAGTATCGAGCGGAGCTAGCTTCTAGGCTAGCTACTATCCCACCGAAAAGTATAGATGAGCATTGGTTGCTTCTTCACGACGCCATGAAAATGGCGAGTAAAGCCGCTTGCGGCTTCGCGAAACGTCCCGCTTACAACCACTGGGTTTCTTCTGGCTCCTTACAACTGATGGAAGCCCGTCGGTCTACTCCGGGTGACCGTGAGTTTGACCACAAACGAAGGCTGTTACGTAATGAAATCGGGCAAAGCTTGCGTAAGGACCGAGAAGCCTGGTGGTCGGAGCGTGCTAATGAGATGGAAGCAGCAGCTGCATCTGGTAACTGCCGGAAGCTCTTCCAACTCATCCGAGCCACTGGCAGCAAGAAGTCTGGTGTGAGTGAAACAATCTACGAGGATGACGGGATGCCAATCACTAACATCTCTCGACGTCTTGGACGATGGGCGGAATTTTTCGAAGGGCAGTTCAACTGGCCTGCTGTTCCGGCAACATCAACCAGCTTGTCCTGCCCCCCATGACCGGTGACGACTGATCCACCAAACGAGGAGGAAGTCCGCAAGGAACTCCAACTCTTGAAACGTTATAAATCACCTGGCCCAGATGACTTACCTCCGGCTCTTTTTAAAGATGGTGGTGACTTTCTGGCTAAGGAACTGACTGCGTTGTTTGGAAAGGTTTGGGAGCAAGAAAGTGTTCCAACATCTTGAAATGAGTCAATAGTCGTCCCTATCTTTAAAAAGGGTTCACGTTGTTCCTGCAATAACTATCGGGGGATAAGTCTACTTTCGATTGCGTCCAAACTATTGGCTTCTATCATTCTTCGTAGGTTGTTTAAAACCCGAGAACGATTGACTCGCGAGGAGCAGGCTGGTTTTCGTTCTGGTCGAGGATGCATTGATCACATCTTCACCCTCCGCCAAATGTTAGAACACCGTCATACTTATCGCAGGCCAACAATCGTAGTGTTTCTTGATATCAGGGCTGCCTTCGATTCGTTGGACAGAACTGTTCTCTAGGATTGTCTATTGAAGAAGGGTGTGCCGGAGAAGTTCATTAACATCTTAAAGGCCCTGTATACGAACACCTCAGGCAGAGTGAGGGCATACAACCACCTTTCTCCCTTGTTCCATTCGAGCAGTGGGGTTAGACAGGGTTGCCCGATCTCACCACTCCTCTTCAACTTTGCCATCGACGACATCCTGGAAACAGCTCTGATGGATGTAAGTAATGGCGGTGTGGATATGTTGCCTGGAGAACGACTTCTCGACCTTGAGTATGCGGATGATATTGTCTTACTGTGCGATAATGCCCAAGGCATGCAATCAGCACTTAATCAGTTGGCAATCAGTGTCCGCAGGTACGGCATGTGCTTTGCACCCTCCAAGTGCAAAGTACTTCTACAAGACTGGCAGGATTCTCATCCTGTACTCACCCTGGATGGTGAGCAGATTGAAGTAGTTGAGAAGTTCGTGTATCTAGGTAGCTATATAAGTTCTGGTGGTGGCGTGAGTGATGAGATTGATGCACGTATAATGAAAGCCAGAGCGGCTTATGCCAATCTGGGCCATCTTTGGCGCCTTCGTGATGTTAGTCTGGCTGTAAAAGGTCGGATCTACAACGCGTCGGTGAGAGCAGTTTTGCTCTATGCTTGTGAAACCTGGCCTCTCCGAGTTGAGGATGTTAGACGTCTCTCTGTGTTCGATCATCGTTGTCTCCGAAGGATTGCTGACATCCAGTGGCAACACCATGTTAGTAATGCAGAGGTTCGGCATCGTGTGTTCTGGCGCAGAGACGAGAATTCAATTGGTGTGACCATCTTGAAATACCGACTTCGGTGGCTTGGACATGTTTTACGAATGTCGTCCCAGAGACTTCCACGTCGTGCATTATTTGCCGACCCTGGGACTGGTTGGAAAAAGCGGAGAGGAGGTCAGTGTATGACATGGTGTCGTGGCATGAAAGAGAGCTGCAAAGGGCTAGCTTTTGTTGGACCTTCACGACTCCCTGGTTGGGGTCCGAGAGATAGTGCAACACAGTGGCTAGAGACGTTATCAGATATGGCTCAGAATAGAAGCCAGTGGCGATAAATAAAAATAAAGTGGCAAATCTCATGAATGAGAAACACGCTGAAAAAAGTGACCTTAGATTCAATACAAAAAGGATGTAGCACCAAAACTGTAAATTACTTTACGTTCTGTGATCTAATATCTATTTCGAAAATGATTAGATCACGAGATCCCATAATTTTGGAGTTTAAAATACTCTGACAATTCGTTTGGAAAATGATAACAGCTGGCCTACCCACTGCTTTTTCAAAGAACAAAAAATTAACTGCCATAACTGGAATTCAGATCATTCGGAAAACAAAAACCCTAAGTCGGTAATTCTAAATGACTTCTATGAGACCACTAACATAAAGTTTCCATCATGCAGTCTGAAAAGTTACACGTGAATGCTTTTCAAAAATGATGATTCAGTTACCTAATTATTAAGCAGACATCCTGAAAATTTAGTAACTTGAGAACTTACTGAGGTCACAGAAAAGTGATGTACAAAATTTGAATCCGATGTGCTAAAATTTTGTGTATCAACTATAAGATGAGAATTTCAAAACCTACTCACCTACATTCTTTTATGATCACAGAATCTTACGTCATAAAACAGGCATCTGCAAAATGATACAGTTGCTACGATAACACACACTTTAACCAAAAGTAGTCACCAAACTTCTGAAATGTAGAGTACATGAAAATATCCCACCCACCCATACAAAATATGACAGATCGGACTATATATCATGATGAAAAAACAGAACAATATTAAAGTTAAAAGTCATTTAGCCCTACTTAATTCAAACACAAAGGACTAACTACGGGGTTTGGTGTGAAAATCCGCTTCACCTACACCGGCTTTGGAGGCCTGGCAGTATGGCTGTAACTAGAACATAAACCTGAACTCAAAAGAAATAAACTAGAAATTAATTTAAAAACAAATTTGGTATGAATGAGCTCTAACACGCAAAAGCAATTTAGTTCTGAATATCAACAATGCGAAAATACCAAGTTATAGTAGCGAAAAATATTACGCTTCTTGAACAGATTGGTGGCTGCAATGACCTAGTAGTATGGTTAATAGTGACCTTGGATTTGGAACGATACGAAAAGGTTCCAGGTTTTAGTGATGACCGAAGAATTGTGGCGCACATATATTCAAATTAATTCTAAATTAAACTAAATGTAAGCCAATACTTAAAATACAATTGTGATTGAGATTAGTCAATTATTTAAAACGACTTGAAAACACTACGTTTATCTTGAAAAAAAATCACACTCACACGAAATACAGAAATCTTGTACATCGAACAGCTAGCAAACTAACCC